CTACATCGAAGTAAAAGGAAAATTACATATTTCGAACACTCCTGTTAATAAAACCATCAGTAAATCATCTTCTTATTATGAGCTAATAGCAGTTTTCGTACATCAAAAAGTTCAAGGAAACTTATCTATTATAACCCATCAACTCATAAATAAGGACATCACGTTTACTTCAAAGTACGAAAGGTGAACCCTGAAAAATTGAAGGCAGCAAAAGAAGAGTTTGAATGCTTACTAGAAAATGGTATCATACGGCCATCTAAGAGTCCATAGGCAAGTCCATTATACATGGTCCGCAAGTAAGTCAAATGATAGCTGGTGATCTTGTAGCGATTACAGATTTTTAAATCGTTGCATTTTAACTTGTATAGACTGGTTCACAAGTTGGCCAGAAGCATTTCCACTCGAAGATATTACTGCAAAAGAAGTTGCAAGAACGTTTTTTAGTGGATGGGTAAGTCGATTTGGAATACCCCTTAAAATCACAACAAATCAAGGACGTCAATTTGAATCATCATTGTTTTAAGAATTTGGGTTTATCATCTGCTGAAATAGTATATGGAGCTACTTTAAAAATCCCAGGAGAAATGCTGTTAGAAAACTCAAATCCAATTAAAAATAAACAATATTTATATAATTTCCCTGAAACAGTGGACAAGCTTAAACCTATTCAAGGAACAAATCACAACAAAACATAACATTTTTATTTTTAAAGACCTTTCAAAGTACTCTCGTGTATTTGTTGGAGATGATACTGTTTAAAAACCTTTGCAGTACTCATATTTAGGACCTTAGAAAGTACTAGACAGAAATAACAAGTTTTAAAAGTATTATATATCAAAATAATAAAGAAAAAGTCATATCTATAGATGAGGTTAAACCATGGAAAACGATGATTTGAGTATTGTTAAACAAAATAGAGAAGTTATATTTTGTTAACACTAGGGGGAGAGTTCTGTGGTAAACTATACAGGGTGTCCCGAAATTAGGCGGTCATATTTTGACAGCGCAATCTACATCCTAAAATAGGAGTAAAAGTTCATTTAAACATAGGTCCGAAAACGTTTCGTTTTCGAGATACAGGCTGTTACAAGTGAAGTCCAGATGACACATTTTTGTAAATATTTTCTAATATTTCTTTAGTCATCAGTTTTCAAAAAAAAACTAAATTTCTGATTCCACAGGTCTACTAATTATTGTTTACTCTTTTGAATAAGGTAACATCAACTTAAGGCAATTTTACCCTAAGCCCCCCCTAAATTACTCACCTATCCTATCAAAAACTATAGTTAAGTCCATTAAATAGAGCATAAAAAGATAAGCATTTGTACCAAATTTCACTTAGTTAGCTTTAGAAGTTTAGAAAATATTTACAAAAGTGTGTCATCAGGACTTCACTTTTAACACCCTGTATCTCGGAAAAGAAACATTTTCGAAACTTTATTTATATGAACTTTTACTCCTATTTTAGGATGTTACGCTGTTAAAATATAACCGTCTAATTTCGGGACACCCTGTATAAGCTCCCTAGACGGGTTGTCATTGAAGTTGACAGATGTTTTTAATTCTGAATTTAGATTTTGATTTTGGGTTTTGATTAAATGTTATTTGAGACAAATATACGATTCAAAAGTTTATCTAAGCTAAGAGGCTAAAAGTCCAAATAAGTTTTTGGGCAGTGGCATAAAATTTAGAGGGTATGAAGGTATTACTTATCCATGCCACTGGCAAAGTTTATTTAACTGGTTGTTTTGGTGATAGGTATATCTTATGACACCAAAAATATTTACTGAATTTGGTAGAATTATGTGAATATGTAAAATATGTAAAAGGTCTTTACAAAAACATACCACATATTCCTTAAACCAAAATAAGTCGATTTAAGTAAAATTACCTTAGTACAAAGTTGCTTCATTTGTGCTCCAGAGGGCCTTGAAGTTACAATTTTTAAATCGTTTTTCCCATATAAATTTAAAACGGCATATGCGATTTTGCTGAAATTTGATATATTGGTGGAGTTTTATGTGGAAAAAAAATGGCATTAAAATTTTGTCCGATAATAATACATAGGCGTAGAACTTGATTTTTTAAATAATTGCACCTTAAAAAATTCTACGCCAATGGAGGAGAAAGGAGTTTGAGTATGAAATTTAGATTGCGCAACACATTTACTTTAAAAAAGGTACTCTTGATAAGACTCGATTACTCTCATGGTTTCGACTAAATTTGCATTTTAGTAATTTTAGAACATAAACAATAATTATTAAAATACAAACTTTGTCAAAACCATGAGAGTAAATCGAGTGTTATCAAGGGTACTTTTTTGTAGTAAATGAGTACCCAATCTAAAATTTCATATTCAAACCCCTTTTTTGCCATTGGCGTAGAATTTTTAAAGGTGCAATTATTTAAAAAAGCAAGTTCTACGCCTATGTATTATTATCGGATAAAATTTTATACGATGAAAAACATAAAAATGTACTTTTTTTATATCTTCTTCAACACCTCTAATCGAGACTTTTAACAAAAATACTCGATTCCTGCCATGTACGATTTTTTGAGGAATATTAATTATTTGCCTGCAATACGTATACAAAAACATTTATTGTTGGTTTCCATAGTTTCATCTAAATAAAAATATTGTCAAGTTTTAACACCTAATCTCTTGTTAACGATTGAAAGTGTTCTATCTGACCCAATAATTAAAAAAACAAATGCGTGGTTTATTAATATGGCTGTACAATATACCAATGCAGAATATACCGATATGTTACTGACATTAGGATTTTGTAAAGGAAATGCTCGAGAGAGTGTCAGGGTATACTCTAAAAGGTTTCCAAATCGTCGTGTACCTAGCCACTCAACTTTTGCTGCTGTTGAAAGACGTCTTCGGGAGACCGGTTCCTTTGCTTCCAACACTGTTGATAATGGAAGAGAACGTTTTGTAAGGATTTCTGAAGTTGAAGAAGACATTTTAGAACGTGTTGAAGAAGATCCAGAATTAAGCACCAGACAAATTGAAAGGGAACTAGGAGTAAGTAAAGATGTCGTTCATAAAGTGCTTGGAGAACAATTGCTATATCCATACCATAAGAAACCAGTACAAGAATTATTAGTCCATGATATTCAAATTCGTTTAGGTTTTTGTCGATTTGTTAATATGCAAAGAGAAAGAGATCCAAACTTTGTCAAGAAGGTTCTCTTTACCGATGAAGTGGGCTTTACAAGAAGAGGTATAACTAATACCCATAATAAACATCTTTATGTCGTTGAAAATCCGCATGCAACCATTTTCAGCACGAATTCAAAATTAATGTGTGGGCTGGAATAATTGTTAATTTCATTGTTGGTCCTGTCATACTTCCACGAAGATTAACTGGAGAAAATTATTTGGATTTTCTATAAAATACGTTGCCAGAATTGTTAGAGGATTTACCCCTCCAACTTCGGAGAGATATGTGGTTTATGCAAGATGGAGCACCACCACATTTTTCTTTAAACGTTAGAAACCACTTGAATGAATAATATCCACACAAATGGATAGGCAGAGGTAATAACGCACCTGTAAACTGGCCACTACGTTCCCCAGACCTAACACCGATGGATTACTTTTTATGGGGACATCTGAAATCCACAGTTTACAGGGAACCTTTAGAAAATGAGGAACAACTCTGGTAACGTATTCAAGATGCAATAAACAATCTTAGAGCGGATGAAGAAGTTATGGAAAGGATACATTTTAATTTTCTTCGACGTATAAATCTTTATATGCGTGAAAATGGTGAACATTTTAAACAATTTTTGTAAAATCTCTATTTTGATTATGTTGTAAATAAATATTTTTGTGAAACCTATAAACTCTAAATTATTAAAACAGAAATTTAGCGAAAACCATGAGAGTAATCGAGTCTTATCAGGAGTACCTTTTTTAAATTAAATGAGTTGCGCAATCTAAATTTCATACTCAAACTCCTTTTCTTCCATTGGCGTAGAATTTTTAAAGGTGCAATTATTTAAAAAATCAAGTTCTACGCCTATGTATTATTATCGGACAAAATTTTAATACCATTTTATTTGCCACATAAAACTCTACCAATACACCAAATTTCAGCAAAATCGCATATGCCGTTTTAAATTTTTATGGGAAAAACGATTTAAAAATTGTAACTTCAATGCCCTCTGGAGCCCAAACGAAGCAACTTTGTACATAGGTAATTTTACTTAAATCAACTTATTTTGGTCTAAGGAATATGTGGTATGTTTTTGTAAAGACCTTTTACAGACACCCTGTATAAAAAAATTATACACAATAATAATTTTAAACTTTAACATTCTGTATTTCGGAAACTCGTAATATTTTATGTAAACATGTTTCGTTTAAGAGTCCAATTGACTAATCTTTACGGTGCGCGTTAGCTCTATGTCCAGGCAATTTTGGGACACCCTGTTTGTCTTTCATTTATTCTAGAAATCAACAAAAAAAAATTATAAAAATTAAGCTACGTACTTAATAAATATTAATTAAATATTATGGCTTAATATTAATCAAACCTCTCGTACTTTTTCATAAGAAAATTTATTTAATAAATTTTAAAATGGATTATCCTAATTCAAGTTGTCAATAAAAGTTGGTTGTAATGCGATAAAATCCGAGATAAATTACAGCAGCGACATCATCCTAGCGCGTCAGATTTATAATCGTCTTAAATATTTAATGGGTTTGATTAAATTTTTCAATTTTTACCAGGATTCGGTTAAGGCAGTTATTCAAGGAAAAATTGTACGTTTCCGTTTGTAAAATTGCATTTTAAACATCTATAAAAACCGCCTGAATCAGGAGTTTCACAGGGAATGTTCGTAATTTGATTTCTATTTTAAATTAGAAATGAAACGACTAGGTATTTACATCTTCATGATGAAACAGGAATGACATATAACGGGAATACTAATGACATTAATGACAGACTAGATAAAACACATACTTCATGAAAAATAAAGCTTACCTTCTGTCAGATTATGCAATCCAATGATAACTTGAAAAATAGAACTTTTTCCTGATCCAACGGAGCCCGTAATAACATGTAAGCCCGGTTTTGTTATTTTCAGCGAAACATCATCAAGAACCTTTGCGTTCTTCATTTCAACCGTGACGTCGTTTATGTCTATTAAAGCTTCCTTGTAAATATTTTCTATTTTCGAAATTTCTTGGCATTGGAACACTTTGTTTATTCGTCTCAGCGAGGCAAAAAATTCCGCGGTTTTACTCATATTCATAGGTATCATGATGCCCATGGCCATGGTTAATTCGTGGAAAACGCTGGATATATAGAATATTAGTTCTGTGTTGGTATCGTTCCCCATCCATATGTAGGTTAAAATTAAAATGAGAAATGTTACTCCGGATACAAAAAGACCGATTACCACCAGTAAGAAGTGGATCAGAAGCATTTTTAAAAGAGCTGCCACTTCTTTCCTAGAAACAAATAAAAATGTTATATTACTAAAATTTATTTTATTAACTAATTATTAGTAATAACTTTTTTTTTTTCTATAAGTGGCATCAAAAGTGACTTTTTTATCGACAACCTTCAGTTTAGCCACCTATTATAGTTTACTACGTATAAATGTATATATCAATAGCCCCATGTTGGGTCCTTAATATACTCCAACAATTCTGGTATAGAAATTTTCCTACGACCACATACGAAGTTTGCACACTTATTTGTTCTCAAGAAAGTAGCTTATATCACACGCGTACTAAAATATATATCACACGTATTGAAAAATAGCAAAAGACACATGTATTGAAAAGTAAAAAAATATCGTCATTTGACCTGTGACATGTACGTCAAAGTTATCATTATAATTGTCATTACAAATTTTTATATAAACTAGTCACAACGAAATAGGTATCACTGAATTAATTATCTAAATCTTTTTAAATGTCCCCTGTATTTTCCATTAAAATTTATACAAATAACAAACACACCTAAATGCATATTTTCAATATAAAAAAACAAAACTTTTTTTGAGGAGGTGAGAAAAAAATATATACGGAAAAAATTAAAAGTACCTGATACATTTAGTTTTACTTTGTACACCAATAAAATTGTTTGTAACATTAACAATTGACTTGAAATTATGAATAACGATTCTCTTGGAAGGCCTATTGTACAAAAAATGCATCTTAGTGAAATTGAAGTGCAAGAGCCGTTACACTATTACAAGAAGGACGTTCGCAGAGATACGTAGACGCTTGCTTCAAATAAGTCAACCAACGATTCACCGAATGTGGAATAGATTTCAAGACATAGGTATTATCCGTAGAAGACCATATACACCAAGAGAAAGAATAACTATGCCCCGACAGGACCTCCAAATTGTACGATTATCCCTACAAAATAGGACAAGAATAGCTACACAGATAAGAAACTTACATTTTCAGGCTACTGGTGGACGCATATCTCTACAGACTACACGTACCAGACTTCATGAAGCTGAACTACACTCTAGAAGTCAAGCTATTGTTCCTCATTTAACTCCAGCTCATCGTAGAGCAAGAAGAATTGGGATATTTATCAATGGAGCTATGTTCTTTTCACGGATGAATCAAGAATTTGCCTTTACTCCAACGATGGACGTGTGAGAGTCTATAGACGCCGTGGAGAACGATTTTTGGATTGCAATGTAAGAGAAGTAAGAGCTTTTGGCGGTAGTTCTGTTATGGTTTGGGGAGGTATTCAATTGAACGGGCGTACACGCTTACATGTTTTTGAAAAAGGCACTCTAACAGCTAGGCGTTATATCGATGAAATATTAGCACCTATTGTCATTCCACTGGCTCATCTAGAAGGTCCTAATTTTGTTTTACAACAAGATAATGCAAGGCCACACACTGCATAAATTCTTCAAAACTTTATTAAAGAGGAAAATCTTAGTGTAATGGAGTGGCCAGCCAACAGCCCTGACTTAAACCACATTGAACATCTTTGGAGCATCCTGTGAAAAAGATTGCGGGATCGAGAACAGCCAAATAATCTACAGGTGTTAGCAGTACAACTTCTTCAGGAGGAATGGAACAATATTCCTCAAGAAACGTTTTGTCAACTAAAAGAATCTATGCCTAGACGTTGTGTCGAAGTTTTAAGAGCCAGAGCAGGGCATACACATTATTAGTTTTTTTTTTTGATAATTATAAACAAGTGTTTTTATCAATTTGCTTTATTTTTAACTTTATTAAATGTACGATAATTTTTAAAAATTTAAACTTGCACACTCTTAAAGACACATACCTAAACTATAAGAACACAAAATTCAAGGTATCTCCTCTCTTTTTGGAGTTATAACAATTTAAATAAGTGATATTTATTTCTTTGTGACTAGTTTATTATCAAATGAGCAATAAAGTTTTTTATATAGGTTTTTAAAATTATAAAATAATAATAAAACATGTTAGCTCACTATTATTTATCGAATATTGAAACAAAATTTTCTATGAAGGTACTTCTGGAAAGAAACTAATTTTCTTCTTCTTTTCTATAGTGTTGTTTTCGGTTTCAAATACGACAATGTGAATTTTTGAGGTTATGTTTATGTTAGTGTTTACAAAACACCTTTCTGTAGGTGTCTATTAGTTTGAAAATATTTAAAGTTTATTGTGATTTGTGTTCAAATACATACTAGTGCCTACAAGATAATTCAAACTTTAAAATTAAGTGTTATAAAGATTACTGGTTAATGCATTTAAAAGAAAGTGAAAAAAAACTTATTTTTCATGGCTATTGTGATTATACTAAACCCAACAGGTAAGTTTAAAGTTTAAAAATTTTAAAAATTACATTAAGTAGGCTGTGGTATTAATTGTCAAACACACAAGCAGTTATTTTGTAAAATGTTACTTTATTGTAAAATTGTACTGAGCTCGCAAAAAATGGATTCTAGTGATTCTGAATGTACGCCTCCAGAAATAGCAGAAGCTGCTTAAAACACGTCGCTCAAATTGTTGCCTGCTAAATCCAGAGGTAAGGTATCAATATGCTTATGATCAATTCATTAAATGGAGACAGAGGAAACAAATAAAGAGTTCGTTTTCTGAAAATGTTCTACTGGCCTATATGAATGAATTATCAGTACAAAGTTCGACTTTGTGGACACAGTACGCAATGTTGAGAACTACTCTGTTTATTGAACACAATGTTGATATTTCTAAGTACCTAAAATTTAAGGCATTCTTAAAGAGAAAAAGTGATGTCTATAAACCAAAAAAAGCCAAAGTCCTGTCGCAACAAGAAATAAATAATTTCATAGAAACAGCTCCAGATGAATTATATTTATTTACAAAGGTGAGCAAGTTTGATATCTATTATTTTTGTTCAATGTGTGAGTATTTTTTATTATTTAAGGTTGTACTTATCATTGGAATATCAGGAGCATGCCAAAAGCAGAAGCTCACTTAGTTGACTATAAACGATATAGAGGATTTGGGTACAGCAGCTGTGACAAAAATAGATAACACAAAAAACCAAGTAACCAGAAAATTAACGATTACTGGACCGATTTATACCATATGTAAAAAGTATGCCAATCTTAGGCAACTCTTAATTATAAAAAAAATGCACGCAACAAGTAGTGGGTATAAACAAAATAGGCACTGTGCCAAAGGTAGTGGCAAAGTTTTTAAATCTTCCGAATCCAGAACAATATACTGGCCACACCTTTAGGCGTTCTTCTGCAACAATTCCCTAGATGCGTAGATGCAGGAGCAGATCTTGCTGCATTAAAGCGCCACGGGGGATGGAAATCCTCTACCGTGGCCGAGCAGTACATAGATGACTCTGCAACTAATATATCAATGACTGCTGATAAAATAATGAACACCATTCGCAGTACAAGCACATTCAACAAAAAGTTGCATGTAAAAACATTGAACAATACTCTGAACAAAATGCTAGATACATTGCAAGTTTGTGTACTTCATCTATACAGCAACAAATTAATGTAGATCTCTACTTTAGATGTAAATTTTTATAAACTATTCTGTTAGTATCTCTGCTTTAGTTATAAATATTTCTTATTAATTTATTAGTTCGTGTTCTCCTTTAGTTATAAATATTTTTTAAACATTGTATTAGTTCTTGTCATTTCTACTGTTACAAAATGAAAAATATTTTGAAGGATTTTTTTACTGTTCAACACATGTATTGATATTCTTTTCAACACATGTGTGATATATTTTTCAGTACATGAGTGATATGGTTTAATTGACTTTCTCATTTAAAAAAGACGTTTTTTTAAGGATTTTGTGTGTAGTCGTAGGAAAAATAGTGTACACAACTCGTTGGAAAACGTATTTCTCGCACTTGTTTAGTTTCCGCACTCGCCGCTACGCGGCTCGTGCTAAACTTCAACTTGTGCGGAATGTTGCACTTTCCTCACTTGTTATGTAATATACTATTGTATAAAAATCATTGAAATCTATTTAGTTTATGTTACTATACAATCACGTATATCAATAATAATAACAACGTGATAATTATTTATTTTAATTACTATAATTTTAAAGTTTTTAAATGGCCTAACAACTATAATGTGCAAAAATTAGATGAAGAATGTTGATTTTATAATGAGCATGTTAATGATTCACGGAATGATAATTATTTAATTTTCAAGGTGTTTTAATAAGAAATAGTTCTTTAACGGAATTCATCATTTATGTTAACAGGAAATACATGCAACGTAAATATTTTTATTCTGAAATAAGTTTTTAGTTTAAAAATTAAAGTTTCGCAGTAAAGCCGGGGTCGTATCTGGTTTAGTTTTACAAAACTTTTCCGGTTTTGTATTTCTTTTGTTTGGCTTAAGAGACTCGAAAAATTTGATGAAAACGAAATGGTGTTGCTGCAGCTTCTGACATTGAATCAGCGTCATGTAAAATTATAATAATTGTGTTTTAAAGAATAGAATACTAATGCCCTCAGTGGTGTACTGAAGAGAATAGTGTTGAACTTATAAATAATAAATCGTCTCTGTCTTTAAAATTTTATTTTCCATTTTTTTAATGTGCTTCACGAATAATAAATAGAAACGCTAAAATTTTGCACTGTCAGTTTAAAATTATTTCCCACTTTATTTCAAAAATTAGTTAGGTAAGTAACCTTTTCTGGACACAAGTATCATATACATCTTAACAGAAGGGATGTTTCATCACTAATAAAAAGGTCTAAACAACTTTATAAATTGTTTAATTTACGATCTCAAAATATATTGTTCCTATTGTACTGATACTGTCTATTCGCGTATTGCTTATTGCGCTGATCTTCCTTCTCCCGCTCGTTTGGACTTTGAGAGTTAAATAACGAGACTGCTTATAAAAAGGAGCGTTATTTAAAAAATATTCTACAGTCGAATGTACTTCCTTTCCCTCCCTACACACCGTTCCATTCGTTTTTTTCCATTGGTCAAAGCAATGCTGGA